CTTGAACCTCTCGGACATGCTCTCGGTGACGCTGACCGTGAACTCGGCGATCTTGTGGACGCGCCCTTTGCCTTTCTTGCGGTCGGGCTCATAGTCAGTCTTAGTTTTCACGACCACCTTGTCCAGGAAAGAAGCAAACGTGCGGTCGGGGGCGGCCAGGGGCCTTCGGACACACCTGCCCAAAGAGGGTGCTCGTGCCCAAGGTCACCACTTCGCCAGGAAGCGCCTCACAGGCAGAACCAGAACCGCCACCTCCTCCAGGCCATCCCTCGGTGCCAGGCCTTGCAGAGAAGTGACCAGCCAGTGATCCTGACAGCAGCCCCGGAGGACGGTGGGAACTGAGGGGCGGGGGGTTAGGCTCATGGGCCGAGGCCACACGGCCAGCAGGTGCCGGCTGGCAGGCCTCGGCCAGACTCCCGACTCCAGGCGCAGGGCCTGTCCACCGCCCAGTGACCTTGGGCACTTCCTGTATGTAACTGAGACTCAGTTTCCTCATCTGTGACCGCAGGAATCTTCGAGACCAGCACTCAGTCCCTGCTCGATCCCTATGTCTGGGCGTCCCTGCCAGGCGCCCCTTTGTCTGAACAGGCCCGGAGATGGAGTCATTACCGGCCCAGGCCACTCCATTGGTTGTCAGGGACGTCCTACCTACATGACCTCCTCCCTGATAGAGCCAACTGTTTACCACACGGTCCCGGAATGGAACAGACTGAGGGAGAAAGAGGAGGGCCCGGCTGAGGGGAGGGGGCCGCCTGACAGGCTGCCTGGGGCACGGCGGTCCTGGCACATTTGCCTGGACAGGGTTGGAGAGCTCGGAGGCTGAGGCCTCAGGCAGCCCGGCCCCTCCGGCCAGGCCTCTCCGGGACCATCAGGGCCCCGGTGGCACCCCGTGGCCAGGTGCACGGTGTGGCCTTCCTCCCCTTAAACAGTGGTGCCGCCCTCGCTCCTGCCCGCCCCAACCTGACAGGCAATACAGCTGGGGACCGGCCCCCCAAAGAGGACCCACTGGCAGTAAAGGGGTGGTCTGGAAGCGAGGACTCCCCAAGGAACCCCCATCCCCACAGCCGCCACCAACATGCCCAGGAGACAGCCAAGCTCCAGCCAGAACCTCCTCCCCAGGGACTCAATGACACAGTAAATGCAAATGTTCTTCGCTGGGAACGGAGTGTGCTCACTGCTCACTCCCTCTCCCCCCCCCACTTCCAGTCTGCCCGTGGCCATGCAGTGGCCTTGCCCGTGGCCGTGCTGTGCCCGTGGCTGTGCAGTGGCCGGGTGGTCTGAAGCAGCAGCAAGGGGGTGAGAATGGATATTGGTTTATTGTTTCAGGTGCGAGTTTTACAATTGTGTCGACTTTTAAAACATCCTATTTATCTGTTTAAGTGTTAATTCCTGCAAACATTGTCCCTAATGAACACAAATCACTTGACTGGACGCTGCATGCAAGGAAAGAGGATTCTTTAAATTCAGGGGGAACCACCTCTCGCTGCACTAACACTGAGGGCGTGTGCTCGAGATTTCACAAAGGAACAAAGGAGGCGGTGGGAGCGGGGAACAGCCCGCAGCATCCTCAGCGCCCGGAAGGGGGGGGTGCGGAGGGGACTCAGCCCCTGGGAGCCCCCCACATCCCCACCCGGCCTCCCCGGCTGAAACGGAACCTCCTAGGGAGGCACAAGCGGCAGCGGCGCCGGCGCTCACCCCAGACCCAGAGCCCCGGGCACCGCGGGGCAGGGGCAGGGGCAGGGGCAGGGCTGGGTGGCAGCCTTGGGGCCGGGGCACCTCGGACAAGACGCCCACGGAAACCAGGAAGGGGCCTTTCCGGGCGCTCGGCGGTCCTCAGGGCCCGGACCCCCGACCCGGAACCCCAATCCTGGGGGGTGGGGTCCTCCCGCCCCGGCCCGCCCCACTTCGCGTCCCCAGCGCACGCGGCGGGTTTCCTTTGTTGCAGCCGCCGCCCCAGATTTGGGGTTCGCACCCGGCAGCGCGGGGTGCGGGGCCTCTCACCTTATCCGGGGGCGGGAACTGCAGCTGATTGACATCGAGGGGCGTCATCAGGGGGATGGTGTCGAAGCCATCCTCCAGCAACGCCTGCTTGGCGCCCTTCTCCGCGAAATTGTTCCCCAACTTCACCATGGTTCCGGGGCCCCGAGGCTGCGCCTGCGGA